TAAAATAATCGTGCATTTCATTTTTGATAAAAAAATGCTTCAGCCCTATAGTCTGTGTTAAAAGGAGATTTAGCAGAATGTTGTTGTGTTGGTTGATGATGATTTACAACATAAATTGCTCCATTAATAGTTTTCATAGACTGATTTTGGATCAAATTATTTTTCTTTTTTTATTATGTTTATTTTTTGTCCTGTAATTACTGATGATTAGTTGTTTGTTACATCTTCAGCCCTAAACCAAAGATGTAGTGTTTCAGCCCAAATGTCTGCTTAGCTTTTATAGAAACGCTAAGATTATCCACATCATTAATTAGCTTATTTAATGGCTGAATGGCAGAGCTCAGCGCACTGCTTGTTTCCTGATGGAAAAACTACCTGCTTTTGCCCTGCAGTCCGGTTAATGAAAACCCTTCGGGAAACCAAGAGCCAACTCACTGATTAACTCATTAAATCCTCTGGTGCTTACCTTACACCTAACCTATCCATCCAACTGGTTCATTAAACAACACCAGGTGTTCTTCACCTTTTTATTCAAATATCTCGTTATGTCACCAATAATTAACCCTCTGGGATTAAAGATTAGGGCCACGACTTGAGTTTAAGAAGGATAATCCCCCCTCCCAGGCGATGCGTTGTTGAGTACAGCGATTATAACGTCAATATAAAGGATTTTCTGTGTTATACCAGGCAGGTGGCGTGAATTACAAAGAGAAGAAATAAAATGAATAAATGTTTAGAATTATAAAAGTTTACCCTTTGTTGTCATTTCAGTGATTCTATTGGATCAATCTTTTAGTTAAGAATATTTTATAGGGTGCACACCTTTGTTCACATCTTTAGGCTTTGTGCAGCATTGTAGGGGGGGTCAGGGGCTATCCTATCCTGGAAAATTTTGAAATTTAGACTCTACCTATTCAAGAAGTTGAATAATGACAAACTGAAAAACAGTCGACAATTACTACAAGACAATCAGCAAACCAACAGAGGGGAAAGTGCAGCCAGGACTGCTTTGATTTATGTGGATCTACAGTAGCCATTCAAAATTTCCCCACTTTCCTTGATGGGTCCTTGGCTGTTCCTTGGCTGGTCCTTGGCTAGTCCTTGGCTGGTCCTTGGCTGGTCCTTGGCTGGTCCTTGGCTAGTCCTTGGCTGGTCCTTGGCTGGTCCTTGGCTAGTCCTTGGCTGGTCCTTGGCTGGTCCTTGGCTAGTCCTTGGCTAGTCCTTGGCTGGTCCTTGGCTAATCCTTGTCTGGTCCTTGGCTGGTCCCCTACAATTCCTTTTAAAACGTCTAAAATATTCTTTCTGTAATGATTTGTGGACATTAAGATCTAAAGAGAAGCGTGATCTCTTGGTCAAACCCTGTAATATACTGAAAGGGTGGAGTCAGAGTAAAAAAATATGCACGCGCAGGAGAAGGAGGGGTTCACTCCAGTGGCTGGAAGTTGGAGGGGATATTGCTGGGAGTCGGAGGGAAGTGGACTGCCATGCGGCTGGCGTTTGACTGGGAAGGGCCATTTTGAATGGCTGCTACCGTACTCTGTTCAGAATACAGTTGAAACTGAAACTGACCTGAAACTTGATCGTCACCTTTTCATTTTTCTTAGTACGTTTTGTAAATGTAAGCTGATTTGTTACACAAGTAGTTGTGTTGCTCTAAAGGACACTGCTGACTGGCTTAATGGTCCTTTCCATTCACCTGTTTAGCTCCGCCCAATTTCTCATCACCGTTCATCTGTTTCACCTGCTCTCTTCTCTATTTAAACTGCTTCCT